CTTCACTATTTTAACAAAAGGCGCGTTCGCGCTAGCACTATATTACAAACCGCGTTCGCCGTAGTCACTATCAAACAAACCCGTTCGGCGTAGTCCTATTAACAAAAAAACCGTTTCGCGTAGGTCACTATTATTAAACAAAACGCGTTCGCGTGTAGTCACTATTAACAAAACGCGTTCGCGTAGTCACGTATTAAACAAAACCCGGTTCGGTTAGTCACTATTAAACAACCGATTCGCCCGTAGTTACTATTAAACAAAAACGACGTTCGCGTGACGTCACTGCTATTAACAAACGCGTTTCGCGTAGTACTATTAACAAACAGCTGTTCGCGTAGATTTACTATAAAACAAACCCGTTCAGCGTACGTCATATTAAACAAACCGCGTTCGCGGGAGTCACTAGTTAAAAAAACGCGACTTCGCGGAGTCGCTATTAAAGCAAACGCGTTCGGGCGTAGTCACTATTAAACAAAACGCGTTTCGGTAGTCCTATTAAACAAAACCGGTTCGGCGTATGTCACTATTAGAACAAACGCGTTCGCCGTAAGTCACTATTAATCAAAACCCGTTCGCCGTAGTTCACTATTAAAGAAACCGTTCGCGTATAGTACTATTAACAAAACGCAGTTTCGGCGTATGTCACTATTAAAACCAAAAAGCGCGTTCGCGTAGTCACTATTAAACAAAAACGCAGTTCGCGGATCGCCTATATAACAAACGCGTCGCGTAGTCACTATTTAACAAACTGGTTCGCCGTAGGTCCAGCTATAACAAACGCGTTCGCGTAGTCACTATTAAAATCAAAACGCGTTCGGCGTAGTCCTATTAAACCAAAACCTGTTCGGCGTAGTCACTATTAAGAAGAACCCGTTCGCGTTAGATCACTATTAACAAAACCGTTCGCGTAGTCCACTGATTAAACAACGCGTTGCGTAGTCACATAATTAAACAAAACCGCTTTCGCGGCTGAGTCACACTATTAAAACAAAACGCGCTTACGCCAGTAGTCACTCTTAAAACAAAACGGCGTTTCGCGTAGTTACTATAAAACAAAACCGTTACGCGATAGTCACTATTAAACAAAAACCCGTTCGCGTTAAGGTCACTATTAAACAAAGCGCGTTCGCGTAGTTACTAATTAACAAAAGCCCGTTTTCGCGTAGTCACTATTTAGACAAAGCCCGTTCGCGTAGTTCTATAAACAAAACCCGATTCGCGGTAGTACTATTAACTCAAACCTGTTGCGGTAGTTACTATTAAACAATACGCTCGTGTGCAGCGTCAGCTCCACTATTAAACAAAACGCAGTTCGCGATAGTTCACTATTAAACAAGCACCGTTCGCGGAGTCAACTATTAAACAAAGACGCGTTCCGTGTCACTATTAAACAAAAACGCGTTCGCGTAGTCACTATTCAACATAAACGCGTATCGGATGTCACTATTTAAACAAACGTCGTTCGCGTATGTCACTATGTAAACAAAACCCGTCGCGTAGTTTACTATTAAACAAAAAACGCGCGATGCCGTAAGTCACTATTAAATCAAACGACGTTCGCGTTAGTCGCTATTAAACAAAGACCGGGTTCGCGGAGTCACTATTAACAAACGCGCTTCGCGTAATGTCACTATTAAACAAAACTCGTTCGCGTAGTCACTATTTAAACAAAACGCGTTGCGCGTAGTCACTATTAACAAAACCCGTTTCGGTAGTTACTATAAACAAAAACGCGTTCGCGTAGTCACTATTACAAACGTTCGGCGTAGTCACTATTTACAAACAACGAGTTCTTTCGTAGTCAACTATTAACAAAACCGCCTTGCGTAGTCACTATTAAACAAACCCGTTCGCGTAGTCACTATTAACAAAGCGCGTTTCGCGCTAGTGCACTATTAACAAACCGTTCGCGGCGTAGTTTACTATGAACAAAACGCGTTCGCCGTAGTCACTATTAAACCAAACCCGTTCGCGTAGTCACTATAAACAAACGAGTTTCGCGCTAGGTCACTTTAAACAAAACCGTTCGCGTAGTCAACTATTAAACCAAACGGCGTTCGCGTAGTCACTATTAAAACAAACGCGGTTCGCGTATGTGACTATTAAACCAATACGCAGTTCGCGTAGTTCACTATTAAGCAACACGTGTTCTGGCCGTACTTCACTATTAAAACAAAAACGCGTATCGCCGCTAAGCCTCACTATTAAAACAAAACGACGTTCGCGTAGTCACTATTAAACAAAACGCGTTCGCGTATTCACTATTAAACAAAACGCGTTCGAGTAGTCACTATTAAACAAAACCCGTTCGCGTAGTCACTATTAAACAAAACCCGTTCGCGTAGTCACTATTAAACAAAACGCGTTCGCGTAGTCACTATTAAACAAAACCCGTTCGCGTAGTCACTATTAAACAAAACCCGTTCGCGTAGTCACTGCCAAAATGTTGCATTGCGCGACGAGGAAGTGAAGCCACGCGATATATTGCGCCTGTCGCGGTGTGTGGCCGATAATGACGCACGAAACCAGTCTGCCGCGAGATGAAAGATCGATCGATGCACTGCTGCTGCTGCTGCTGCTGCTGCGCGGCGAGTCAGCCGGCGGATAAAGTCTAGCCGACTAGCGCAAGGATCGCTGTATTTACAGAGGAAACGGCAGCACTCATTTGCTGTGTGAATTACAGTTGCAACTCGTCAGCACAGCAACGTGACTTGCGAGTGTTGACGCGCGTGTGTGTGTGTGTGCGTGTGGTCGCGTGTTTATATTTCTGCGGATATAATGTCCACATCCAGGTGTGTTATAGCGGATGAGTGAGATCGTGTGCGTATATGCGTGCATGCGAAAGGGCGTCTATCAAATTACTTGCTGTTTTATGCCAGCACCTCATGACATTCTACAGCTCGCAGAACGCAAAATTTATGGCAATCATAATCTTATGAATCGTGTCCGTGTTGACCTCGTTAACTCTTGGATGTGATGTCATACTTAGGCTCAGTTTAGGCTCTTACAGGTAGTGCTCCTATACGATGTGACAGCTAAATGTTACTAGTTGACTATATGTCACCCCTACATTACTCACTGGCCGATTGTACAGTTAACCTGGGACGCCCGATGGAAATAAATCTGACAAATGAGTACACTAATCCTCAGTGCTAACTGAACATGATCGAGAGGGCTATAGCTACCTTGTTATTGCTGCCACTACATCTAGTGATGATGATGATGGCAATTTCATTACATATCGTTCAACGCGTTGAAAAATTGCCGTCTTATAGTCACAAATCACATGTCACGATTTTCGGAATTATCTCCGCAAGGAGAAAATTGTTTTCGAGGAAGGCTGGGCCACTGCCACCGGCTTCGAGAGGTTACACGTGCAAGGAGCAGTCATGTTCGCTGGCTGTGTGTGGCTGTGTGAGTATGAGGCTCATTACGATATTTTAATAATGGTTGTGATTCTATTTGAGATCAATTCTGAGAGCAAACAGCAGTGAAAATGCTCTGTTGCATATGGGTGATATGCGAGGGCGATTGATTCACGCTGCGGCACGTTTTCTTTATTAAAAAAATTCCTATGGTAGGCTAAGATAAAACTGGCAGTGACAAATTTCACCTGGTTATACATCTAATGAGCTCATTAAATGAAGACTATATATACCACAGACATCATATAAAGCAGCAATGCGGAAGGTACATCAGGTGAGATGTGAGATCACTAATTGTACTTAATTATCTGTCCACTTCGCAAGTTTGCTTCTCCGGCCGATCGGTGACGTGCTACCTTGGCATTAGGTTCTTTGACCTCTGCTTTGACCTAGCTGATTGGCATGTAAACCGTGAGTTTTTGTGCGGCAAGCCAGCTGTGATGGATCGTGCTCGGGGCTGAGGAGTATGTAAATATTCGCTGTTTCGGTCTTGTGGCGTAATCGGTAGTCGGTATTAATTATCAAGAGCTAATGATACCTAGTCGCTAAGTAAAATAAAGTAATAATACCTAGGTATTATTAGCTCTTGGTATTATGGTATTATTCGGTGTATGGTCCGCTTGTGGTTATACATCCCCCCCCCCGTCCACTGAAGTGACCGTATTGCGAATTCTTGCGTGTGTGCTGATGCGCTGTGAAGATTAGTATGCTGCGCCGGTATCTTTTTCTGTGGCCCGGTTGACTGTAGGCTCATCAGTTTCAAATCCACATGGGAGAAAGACGCGCTCGCTGCTTTTTGCCTTTCGTAGATGGGAATGAACCGTAGCTCTTGTCTACGTGAATGGAGCTGTGGGTGCTACGCGTTGTTTCCTTATATAGCCAGTTCAAATTCGCTACGTAACTGTGTCTACCTCATTGCTGCTTATTTGCGTTTAGTTTAATCATGGGAGAGGCAAGCAGCTATCGTAGTAGAAGCCAGTGAGGCCCAAGTAGGATTATCTTATCCTTTAGTTACTAGTAAGTGACTTCCGTTTTCTCCGTGCTGCTTTTAGCTGCAGTCGTACAATCTCTAAAATAGACGTTTACTGCTTTGGTGCTTAGAAAAAACTTGAGGGCCCGATTGTCTCTGATTTGTGTGAAGTTTAAAAAACGTAAACGTGGTCAATTTGAGGTGCACTTTTTTACTGGTCAGCGCATTTTTTTAAATATTTGTGCAATCATGAAACTACTTACCAGGAGCTTGGGTTCGTATGTACGGTTTTTGTAATGCGCATACATTGTGTTTTGGGGAAAAAATTAAAGACGAATTACAGACGCTCATCTAGAATTACCCAATGTCCTTCATTGTTCAACAGTCTATGATTTGCGCGTGTCATTTTGTATCGAAACCTTATCCTCAGCCATTCCCCTCATCAATATAAATCGGCTGTACGTGCACACGATGCATTTAGTCGATGGTGATACGATCTCAGTGCTATTTTCCTCGATGCGTGCATTACGTGCATAATTTATCACCCGCACTCCTCACTGGGTTCGAGTGTCCTTCATCCAGCCGGCCTCGTGTTCTTGTTGCAGAGGCAGCCTTCATGAAGTTCTCGGTGATCACGAGAGAGCTGTCAGCACTGATGAAGACGCTCATGCAGAATCTGAACAACATAGTCATGTTTCCTCTGGATACGCTGCTAAAAGGCGACCTCAAAGGAGTGAAAGGAGTAGGCCCAGTTTCCTGTTTGTCTGTTTGTGCATGCGTGCATTTAAGGCGCGTTCGTGCATGCGTGTATTCGCGTGTAGGATGTGTGTGTCTGTATGCCTGTGTGGTTCTAATTATATGTTCGTGTAATACACACACACACGCACGCACGCACGCACGCACGCACGCACGCACACACACACACACACACACACACACATATAGCACTGTAGTTTACCGTAGTTTGCCACATCATTATTGCGGGTGAAAATTGCATCCTTAGATAGGTATCCAAAGGTCCTGATCTGTGATATGTAAGCAAATTATGCAACCGGTCCAGAAATGTATTCATCTCGAATGATATCAATGTGTGACTGTGAATATTAAGTAACTGTGGGTTTTCAAAGTTTTTATTCCTGAAAAGAATGTAAATCAGACAGCCAGCAGGTTTTTTTATCACGAAGCTTCTCTGCGTAAAATTTATTGTTTTTTTTCAAATTGGCTATTACTTCTCTTTATCTGATGGGAATTGAAATGAAATATGTTGTGTAGGTTGGTTACGCGTTCCTCCCTCCCTCCAGGGTGACTTTACTCATCCATTGTAATCAGAGACCTGGGAGGCATTTGTGTTGTCAGTCCGTATGGTCTTATGAGAAATGTCACAGTCGAGAATTTCTGAAATTACTGGTAACCCTATCCCCGATTTCCCGAGCAAGTATTTATTGTTGGTTCTTCGAATTTCTCGTTAATTATAATAAGATAATGTTTGCATAATATATACATATATATTGATATATATATATATACATATATATATATATATATATATATATATATATATATATA